GTAGTTGTTCGACGCCCCACAATCGATTAAAGCAGAGAGCCTGGCCGGGAAGCCAGGCACGACAAGTTCCAAACAAATCATTTTGTTGGGTTGGAGCCCGAAGGGATACAGAAGAAGGTCTGTGTCCGAGGCTAGGTCCTTAGATTGTGTGGGCACGCCACACACCTCCAAAAGACCTAGGGTGTCCCTAGTAGGTCGCCTCGCGCCTACTGGGAGCGACCGTTTCCCGCCGCACTCGAGCTCGGAGCGGGGCGGAATGGTGGACGTGAGCCACCATGGCGTTCACGATTGAAGCGGTTAGGTGTACCGCTCGGAGGGCGACGCGAAGGGGGTATCGGACGCAGTACGGGGGGAACCGTGTGAGGGCGGGGCGGCTGACGCCACACGGCGAGGGGCCGGGCATGCGCGGGAGAAGTGTCCCGGGCGACCGCAATTGAAACACATGCGGTCGTCCGATGCCTGGGCGAGCATGGAGACATCCATGTCTGAGGACGCGGCGCGTGCGTGCGCAAAGGAGGAGGAGAATGATTCCGAAAGCACGATTCGGACGGCTTCTTCAAAGGTGTCTGGGTAGGCGCGAAACTGCTGTGTGCGCAACGGGCCTTGGTTGAGACCGTCCATGAAAACGGTCACCCGTAGGGCTCCGGGAGTGACTCTTCTTCGTTAATGTTCGCAGCCAAGAAGCGAAGATCATGGATGAACTCTTGAAGGGAGCGTTTCCCTTGCTTGCAAGCCAGATATTGCGATAACGAAAGTCTCTGTTGGGTGGCAGAAACATTACCTTGAGTTCGGTCTCAAAGACCGCGAAAGATGGGAAGCAGTGGCGGTCCGTCAAGCGTTTGGAGAACGCCCAATCTTCCGCACGACCCTTCAAATGCGACATCGCGAAAGCTACGCGGGTGGCGTCGTCGGAGATACGCTGAGCGTCAGCAGCAGTGCTGACTTGTAAAAGCCAGCGGAGGAGTTTGTCCGACTCCGCTCCGCCGAATTTGGCAACATCCAGCTTGATCGACTTCAGGCGAGAAGTCGATGGCGTTTCCGACTCCGAAGCACGCGAGAGGCGCGCGATCTCATCGTGAGCGATTCGCAGAGAATCTTGGAGGGTGCAACCATGGGACGACATGGTGGAGGCTTGGTCTTCTAGGGTCGCTATTTTCTCGCGAGCGACGCCAAGAGAATCTTCAAGGTTTCGGCCGTGCGAAGACATTTGGGCGACTTGATCTTCCAATGCCTTCTGGGCGACCGTAGCTTTGGCAACCGAGAGATCAATCGTGCTACCGATGTCTTCCACAAGGCGAGTTTGGTTATCGGGAGTCATCCCGCCAAGGAGTAGCGCGGTATCGTTGTCGCCAAAACCGCGACGCAAAAGGGCGAGGACCGCCTGGTGGGCTGCGGTGTTGGTGGAGGACATAATGTTGGTCGACTGGACGAACGTGGAGTGCTACCAGGTGTAAGCGTGCGCAGAGAAGACGCAGGAGATGGTAGAATCAAGAATGAATTGATAGCGTTAAAACTACTACGCTATCACTAAGCTACGCGCAACCAACCATTGATGTATCGTCGGGGGAACGCCTTGGTTGCGCAAGAGGACTTGTTGGTGTGCGAAGAGACACCTTGGACTGAAGAGACACCTTGGACTGAAGAGGTGTCGACTAGTCATCCGGTTAGTAACCGGATGATGGGCACGGTTACAATACATGTGATGGTGCACGGGATTCTACGTCACTATGCATAAAGATGGAGGTTATCATTAACTTGTTCGCTCCCACCGCGCCTCTGATCGACCTCCACTTCATGTGGTTCATCTCCTCCACGCTTCCCCCTTCCACGCTCCATTCAAAGTGCCAACAACAAAAAGCGTTTCATTAAGTCAATTGATCTGGCCAATCACAAATCAACTGATCTGGCCAATTACGAGTCAACCAATCTGGCCAATCATGGTTGAGGATTCCAATCCCCAAAATCGACCCATTTCATAGATTCTGGTACTAAGTTCCGGAGTTTTACTCAACCCTATAAAGCTTCAGAGGTTATTTTATGGATAAAGATAAATATTCATCACCGAAATCTCCCTATTGACTACTGGTAATCCGCAGCACCGAACGGACCGTTTAGAAAAATACTTCGAAGTAATAGAAAGGTCGTGCACTAATTGAGCTGTGATGTTGGCCACGGCAAGTATAGTATATTACCTCTGTCCCACTTATATTGCTCCCGACACTTTTTCAGGATTTAATGTGAATATTTCAATCAATTCAAGGCTTTGTAGTTGACATATACATACTTATAAATAGCCAATTCCTAGAGCAATTTGAACATGAATTCAGGCGGCAGTTTCCTAACTTTGTGGAAGATATCCTACTTCCTCTGTTCCAAATTACTGCGGACATTTGGCTTCGCAGCGAGAGGCTACGGGAAATGGTCATATTAGAACGAACTCGATGGAGCTGATGCTTATAATCGCAATGTTACACGATCAGATTAGTTAATACTTCACCTGGTTGACAGAAACCTTCGTCGTTGCATTTTCGTAGGTGATTTGGTCGTCAACCTTGCTCCATGGAAGCGCACTTTTTCTTCGAAACAAGAAACCGTTTCATTATTGTTATCATGGCGTGAATGGAGATTTTAAAAACAACACATCAAAACGATGTTATGTGATTTTATAATCGGAAGCAAAGATAACTAACAAAGTTGATCAACTTGGATGTTATATTTGAGACAGCCACTTTCAAAGCCACACAACATGAGCCAGTGTAAACCGACCAAGCCGAGACTCCATTCGCGTGTTGACAAGCATTATCTCTACATAATGACGTATCATAGAGGTCGCTATGAGGTATATTCATCGAGATATTTACTTACAAAGTAGGTTATATTTGCGGTTTTTTGCTACTACGGGTAGCAAAGGCCACGTTTTTAAAACCTTTGGCGATGTGTAGTCTCTGCAAACGACCACATCAACCGGCTAAGAAGACTGACTACATACGGCGGGTTGACGGGGCTTGGGGGGAAGGAACCAGGAAGTGCTAACAATTGTAGCACTGCGGGAGGAAGCGTATGTAGTTGAGGGCAAAATGCACAATGAATTAACTGAGGATCTACTAAGATCTCCTTAGTCCTCATTCCTACGAATCTTCTTAGTCTACTTCACTACTTCTACACTAATATGCACTTTTGTATACAATGGTGCGGTTGAGACATTGGGGGACTTCACTAGGCTAGCGCTTCTAAGCCATACATGTCCTTGAGACACATCCCCAGGCAAGCATTAGCTAGGGTGCGTCATGGGCCAGGTACTTAGGAGCTGGGTGCGGGCAAGGCGTTACCCCAACCTGTAGCATTACTTCATTCTCCCCCTGACGTCTTGCTACACCTTGTAACGCCTTGACTCCAAGTCTTGGACGAGTTGTTTGAAGTGCAAAACATGCTTGATGTCCTTCATCAGTTCCCACGTGGCTTCGCTTTCGGGCTGTCCATGCCACTTGACCAAGTACTCCAACTTGCGATTGAACTGACGCTTCTTGAGCAGTTTCTCGACAATGTACATTTCTTCGCCGGTGGATTCGTCTAGAACAACAGGAGTAGTTTTCGGGATAGGCCGGGAGGCAAACTTGGCTTCGTTGGGGTGATAGTGCTTAAGTCGATCAACGTTGAACACGTCATGCTCACGTGACATCGAGCGAGGCAACTTAAGGCGCATGGCGTTGTCATTAATGGCTTGGACAATCTCAAAGGGACTGATGAATCGTGGAACCAGCTTGGGACGCTCGGACTTGTGGAGCATCTGGGCATGCTTTAGAGACAGGTTGCGAGTCGCTTGCAGTACTTGATCGCCTTCCTTGAAGGTCACGTTCGAGCGGCGCTTGTCATAATACTCCTTCTGACGTTGTTGGGCCTTCGTCAAATTCTCGTGAGCCATCCGAATGACTTCCTCTCGAAGGTTCCGCAAAATGCTTGGCAAAGTCATTCTTGGGCAAGGAGCTGCTCACGGCAGGGTTGCGCAACTTGCGGCCTGTGTCGACTTCGAACGGCGTCAAGCCGGTTGATGCTTGGCCTAAGCCTTGGTGGGCATACTCGATCGTTGGCAAATGGTCGACCCAGTCTTGTCCTAGATACTACTCTGTTCCGGGAAAAGAGGTCGATTTGACTTTTGATTGGCGGGATTTTTCTAATTTTGCGTATTATTTGGCTCTGATTGGTGCATTCAACGGTGCGGAATCTCGTGTTTGATTGGCTCTTTTGAGCATTTTCCAACTCGATTTGGTTCAAATTTTATGGCGTTTTGAAATCGTTCGCTCACATGACAGCACACACATCGACCCGCTCAGGAGTCATAACTCAATTTCACGCCCCGTGCCCAATACCATTGTTGCTCAACGCCACGTTACCATGCCATCCCCACCTCCTCGTGCTGCCCTCGTCAACCTCAACACCCCTTATGCCAAGCGGAAGCTTAGCGACACCGAACGACGCGCCATCTACGAGAAGCTGCTTTCACGCAGCACCGACGGCGAGCTTCCACATGGAGCATACGCTAACACTGCGCGCCTATTCAACTGCAACTGGCGCTCTGTGTCTCGCATCTGGGCTCGAGGAAGGAAGTCGTCGCAGCAAGGCAACGTCGACGCCAAATTCAAAGGTAAACCTCTCGTATTTTATACAATTAGTCGTTTTCAAGGTTATTTGGTTTTGAAAGTTGTACTTTATTAGGCAAATCTGGATCGAAACGAAAGTACACGACCTCCGACATCGAGCGCGCAGTCAAGGCTTTGCCGATTCAAGCGAGGCAAACCTTGAGAACAATGGCGGCCCAATCAGGCGTGGCCAAGACAACTCTTGTTCGGCATATGGCCGAAGAAAAGCGACTCAAGGCCAAGTCGAGCTACTCCAAACCCCTCCTCACCGACGAAAATGCTCGTGGCCGCATGGAACATGCACTGTCCTTACTTCAACAGTCGCCAAATAGGACTACTTTCTCCAAAATGCACCAATATGTGCATATTGATGAAAAGTGGTTCTTTTTGACGACTGTACGAAAATGAAAGAGCTTTACAACCTATTAGCCTTCTTCACTCACTTGGTATTGCTGGATCAAGCTTTCGCCCATTGTCCAATATTCCTCACTGCTGCCTTTAAAAAAGTTTGGGCCGTGTCTCAGTCCCAATGTGGCTGATCATTCTTTCAAATCAGCTAAAGATCGTAGGCTTGGTAAGTCTTTTAAACTACCAACTACCTAATCTTCCGCAAACTCATCCAATAGCGTTTTTTAAACTTTATTTTTTATTCAGAATTTTTATAAAATAATTATGCTGAACTAAAGGGTAGATTATTCACGTGTTACGCACCCGTTTGCCATGTTTTTCAACATTTGACTTGCATGTGTTAAGCATACCAATAGCATTTATTCTGAGCCAGGATCAAACTCTATGAAAATTTTTAAATTCATTTTATATTGAATTAATTTATTATTATTTTAACAATAAAAATATTGTTATTATTTATTATGTTTTATGATCAAACTTTTATAATTTATAGAATAAATAATATTATTTAAATCTTAATTCCCTTCATTAAAAAGTATTTAGATAAATTTTTTTTTTATACATGAATTTAAAATAATTTCAGATTTTATAAATTTTTTTAAAAATATTTATTTATTCTATTAAAATAATTTTTTTTTATAAATATAATCTTATAAATAAAA